TTTTGTTCTCTCGTGAGATAACTTGATTCTGTGACAAACGATAAAATAAATTACGCGACTCGTGTCCACTGGAATGGATCAGAGAGAGGAAAGAATATTGTCGAGACTTGGTAAAAAAGATGCATGTCAGTTCAGAAGCATGGGATGGGAAGTTTGAGCTTATCTTTGTAGAAAGAGGAGAGTGTCGCTAAAGTGGGAGAAATCTACGGATCGTAGATAAATCGGTGGCTCTGGAGTTGATCTCGAGTTGATCGCGTTATGTCGATGGCGTTTCTCAATTCCGAATCGTGTTGGTTGCAGAGGTTAAAATGGAATTGGAAGACCTGATGTCCGACATCAAGAAAACGGCGAATAAAGTCAGAGCCAAGTTGAAGGGTAAGTAAGAAAGACGCGTGTGTTTCTACACAGCAATGTGTCTCTGGCTTCGACGAAGATAGATAGATGTTGTTACCGGAGAGAACAAAATCTAGAAATCACCGGCCATTTTTATCCAATGTTGTTGTTCTCCAGTGATCGAACAAAATATCGAGCAAGAGGAGCACACGAACAAATCGTCGGCGGACTTGAGGATACGCAAGACACAGCACTCTACGCTGTCGAGGAAGTTTGTCGAGGTGATGACCGAGTACAATCGAACGCAAACCGATTACAGAGAACGGTGTAAGGGAAGGATACAACGACAGTTGGAAATCAGTAAGCTGATGAAGATGATTTGATTTTACGCGGTTTAGTTTAGTACAAGGTGTATGTATGCGTGTGCGTGTTTAATAAAATTAATTGTTTTGCGTTTCTACTCTCTTTTAGCCGGTAGGGCGACCACCAACGAGGAACTGGAAGAAATGCTGGAACAGGGGAATCCGGCGGTGTTCACGCAGGGGGTAAGCGTTCCTTCGTTTCTTCGTTTCTACTACATGACGGATCGAAAAAAACATGGTGCTGTATCGAGACGCGTTTCTCGCAGATTATCATGGAAACGCAACAAGCGAAACAGACGCTCGCCGATATCGAGGCGCGTCACGCCGACATCATCAAACTAGAAAACTCCATCAGGGAGCTTCACGACATGTTCATGGACATGGCGATGCTGGTGGAAAGTCAGGTAAGATCGGCGACGATTTTCCTGATCTTATCGCGTTCATCCGTTATTCTCGCAAATTTTTCACTCCCCCGATTCCCCCCTCCCC